GAAGCAAGGCCCCCCCACCTTACATCTCCCTCTGATGCCCCACCTCCACCTCTCCTCTGGGCAATACTCCTGAGACTTAAGGCCGTCAGTCAACTAACTTCTTTCCCCTGAACAGGCCAATTTATGCACAAGAACCCACAGGGCTCCCTCCTAGGGGTGGAGAACACATGTAGCCCTCCAGGTCCTCAAGAGTGGCCCTTTGACTGAATCCAAACTTCACCAAACTAATCTCGATAAAAGGCTGAGCCTGTTCTCTCTCGTTTTCCATGCTTGGCTCCTTGACCAAACCCTGCCCCCAGAATCAGGGAACTGATGGCAAGAAACCAAGTCCAAGAGTTTGAGTGGGAGAGAACAGGAGAGAAGGTAAAATGTGTGAAGAGCCAGGCAACCTTGGCTGCTTGGGGCCAGAGGAGCTAGGTACTCACCACCTGTGAAGGCCGTCACCTGCTGCTGGGTGCCCAGGTGGCACTACCAATCAGCATGGTGCCAGAGAGGCCCTTAGGGAGGCCAGGCAGCCTCTATCTCATCGGAGGCAGGTGACTCGACCCTGGACCTTCTGCTTGGGAGCTGGCCAGCAAAGAAGGACTCAGTGCATGGCCCAGCCCATGCCAATGGGATTCCTCCTGAGTAAGATCCTAAGACAAACCCTAAAAGAAACTGACTTTTTAACTAAGAATTAACCAAGGGCTTTCCACTGATCTATGAACAACTGCTCTGAAATTAAGAAGGGCAGCCTACATTGTTCCCTTAGCTGTGGTTCACAGAAATCAGTTTTCAAAAAAAAATTAAAAAACCAAAAAACCCTACTAGGTATAGACAAAAACCTTATGGTACAATATATACAGAGCTTAGAGTGATCAGTTTTATTGCTAGAATTTTATTTGGTTGTTAGAGAATTTATAAGGGCAGGTGTATCCAACAGGGTTGCAGGCATGGCCAGGATGGTGGTCTCAGGCACCCACGGGGCCTGTAAACAGCAGAGAAAGTCCTCCACTGGGCAATGGCGTGGTGCACCCAGAAGGGGATGCAGGGAGAAAAGCTTCCAGTTACGGCAGATCGGACACATCCCAGAAGGGCATCGGCCTGCTTGTCCTTAGCTGGTCTCTGCTGCCTGGACGAGGTTCTTCTGACTCAAACTTAAGTTAAGGATCATGCCAAAGGAACAGCACATACCCAAGTAGGTACGATGCTTTACTGCAAGGCTGTGAAGGGTCCAACACCAGAACAAAGCTCATCTAAAAAAAGGGGTTTCCCTTGACGCAACTTCTCCAGGCTCCCTGGTTCCCACCGATGAGCTCTGCAGATGCTTCCTTCTCTGTGATCCAGAGACCCTCCTGGGAATGGCAGATGGGGCCAGAACTTACTGCCCAGGGAGGCAAAGAGAAGATTTCTACCAGCACTGGACACCCACCACCAACCCCACCGTGGCCAGGAGGGGCAAGAGAAAGAAAGATATTGCACTTGCTAAGATTCACGGAGATTCCTGCCCTGTCTCACCCAAGGGCACATGTCTGACATTTCATTTTGTGATCTTGCTGCCCGCGGAAACCTCCTGGAGGAGGCTCCAACACCGGCTGGCAGCAGAGAAGACGTGGTCCCCCCAGAGTGGCCCTGGTGACTGGGCCTAGACCACACGTAGGGGCTGAGCCTGTGTCCATCCCATCAGCTGGAGGACAGGCTCTGAGGAGGGGGCAGGCAGGGCTGGGAGGGGAAGGCAACATCTCAGGAAGAGGAGGAGAAGCCACAAAGGGTAGATCCCAGGGTTTCATGCCATCCTTTCCTACAAACACTTTAGCTAAGCTCAACAACTTGAAGAGTGTCCAACAAGGTTGGAGGGGCCCCCCAGGCCCTTTTCTGACTCTCTGGTCAGGACTGGGTAAGGGCGCAGGATGACTGCTCAGTGAGCAGCAGCCCTCCTGCCTGGGTCATGGGGCAAGTGTCTGGACATTAATGGCTAATTTTGAACTGTTTTCTCATATCCCTCCAGTGCACGTAATTCCCTGTTCAATGCCAACTACTAACAAATGCTTGGAAAAGGCCTCTCTTGGACAGAAAAGACAAGATTTTTCTGGGTTTCTATAAAGTGCAGCTAATTTAAGGCAAATTTTATGTAAAATAGAAAATAGGGGTTTTGCTCTCTCTATGTACATCTTTTTCAGTTTAAAGACATGGTCTTGCGGAAGGAGGGCTCCCTGGATCAGCAGGAGTTTTAAGAGCGACATTCTTGTGGGTGCCCTGAAAGCACAGAGTTACTGCTGAGCATCCGACCAGAAGGAAAGGTTCTCCTCTTTAAAAAAATAACCATTATATAGATTTTCCAAATGAGGGATGCTATGCAGCTTCAAAGATGTGGGGACTGCTGGGCTGAGGGAGGGGTGACTTGTCAGGTGACAGCCAGCTGGAGGCCTGGGCTGGGTTTCCAGTTTCTAATTCTGCTCTATATGCTCAATGCCTAAAGCCAATCTCAGCTCCGAGAAGGAATATCTCCCATCTCCGTCCATGTCGAACTCTGCCATGCTCTGGGCAGATGGGACGGTAGAGCCGAGCTGGTCCCAGAGATCCTGGTAGGACAGCTTCCCCTCGGGCCCCTGGCCTGTCTTCTGGAACAAATCCAGGAGATCTGTTGAAACAAGACACTCGATCACCCCCGGTTCACTGTTGGGCCAACTGCTTGGGAGGGCAGTGGCTGCAGGACAGACAAGGAGCCTGGGTTCCTACTGCAGAGAGCAGCGGCCCAGGGGGCTGCAGGCAGGAAGCCTGGCCCAGGGAGTGGGATGCCAAGGAATGACAGCTCCTGATTCCACGTGAAATGACTTCTTGTGCCAGCCCCTGAAGAAGGGGATGCAAGGTACTGCCCTCAGCTCTTGGCTCACAGTGCCTCACAGTCACCCACTAAGGTTGGAGCCAAGGCCTGTTTGATGGGGGCAACAGTTAGCCTATGGGCCTTCTTCCCCATCTTGCACCCTCTGGGTAACTCCCTCCATTTCAGGCTTTTATAACTGCCTTGCTACCGGAACTAGAACGATTTCCTGAGCATCTTTAAAGCCTAACTGGGAGCTGAGAGACACGTGCACCCTGTGTGCGGTTCATTCTTGTCAGCTCCTGGGAGCTGGCAGGGAGTACAAAGTCAGAGGCCGTCTTCAGAGGACGACCGGCCTGGCCACAGCAACCCTGGAAGCCCATCTCTCGGATTCTCAAGGGGCTTTTGTCTCTGCCGGAAGGATTAGCTACAGATGCTGGATCTAGGGGGTGCATAGACACTGCTGGTGGGATCCTGGGCAAGGAAGGCACTTAACTTATTTGCCTCAATTTCCTCATCTGTAAAATGGGATAACAAGATGAAATAATATTTGTAAAGTGCTTAGTACAGTGCCTGGCACACAGTAGGTGCTTAATAAATACCTGCTCCCTTCCCCCCCAAATTAACCACCTCTTCTGGGGTGTTCCCAAGGGTCAGGTCTATGACATAGTTAGGAAGGCTAACTGAGTCTCAATTGGTTTGCATAATTTGTTGGTACTTACACAGTGTTCCAACCCTTATCTGCAAGACTTAGTTGCTGTCCTACCAAAAGCAGGTTCCTGGAGTCGGACTATACCAGTCTTCCCACCCATACAATCCCTGTCCTGGGGTGGGGCCTCCAGTACCTCCTCACAGCACTCCTAGGTTGCACACGCCTCTCAGTGCACTTCCTGGCAGGCAGAAGGGGCAGGGAATGGGGCCAACGATTCTCAAACGAATCCAACTTCATTCCAAATCTCAATGCAAAAGGAAGGATATGGAGCAAAAGCAGAGACCCCCTTAAAAAAGACAACTGCACTGGACAGGATGGGATGGGAGGGCTATCAGGTGACAGAAGGCTTACACTTAGGTTGTCAGGCCCCAAATAACAGAATTGGGAGCAATGAGAGGACACCGAAGAACCCCCAGAAATAGGGAGGTCAGCCTTGACAAGTAGTGAGTCTCCAGTCACGGAATGTGTTCAAGAGGCTGCAGCCCCCACTTGGAATCCCAGAAGCCAAGAGCTGACACTTCTCACTCACAAACTCATTAGCAACTGGGATGACCCTTCTTGGATGTCTCTTAAGTTGCAGGCTTAATTACGCATTAAATGGATGGATGAATGAAAGAAATCCTCCTATGGGCATCTACACCAACCCATACCTGAAGAAGAATGTCTTTCACAGCCTCTCCACGTGGCCATCCCCTCTGTGCCTGAAGACCCCTAGTGCTGAGGAACCCACCGCCTTCTCCCTGGCAGCGGGACTCCCCCAGGATGTGGCCTCCAGGCTCCCCCATCTTTGGGGGGATGGGGGGTCTCCACTTTATCCCTGTCTTCCCCAAACCAGGGAGCCCAGAGCTACACCCAATGCTGCAGGCCTAGTTGACCAGGGCCAATGACTCTCGAGGGAGCCCAAGTCTGGAGTAACCTTTGGGCTCGCACACTCAGCACAGGCCATGCGGGGGTGGGAGTGGGGCGCCCTGCTGGGGACCTCCTTCTGCCCTAGTCTGGATGCTGTAGGGCCGACTTCTGCTCTGGGGGAGGGAGGCGGGACTGAGTGACTTCTTAGGCCTCTTCTAGCTCCAGGACACAAGTGGTTATGGAGTTCTCACTCTGGCCTAGGCCCTGTGGATAGGAAGAAAGGCCAGCCCCTTCTCCCACTGCTGAGGCCCTTCCAGGGTCTCTGGGCCTCATTCCCCCCTCCACTGTGCCTGACTCCACAGACTTTGCCACCGCCTTCCTCCTTGTCTCCCCTCTGTGTTGTATTTTCCATTAGAATGTAAGCTCCAAGAGAACAGGGACTATTTCTTTTTGCATGTGTTTGTATCCCTTGCACTTAGCACACAGCCTGGCACAGAAGAAAAGCTTAAAAAATGCTAGTTGCCTGCCAGCTCAATGACACAAAAGATTTATAAATCTATGCAATGGGGATAACCATAAAGTCTTATGCTTGGATTCCTTCCAAGGACAAGGTAGAAGGGAGGACTAGACAGCAGGTGTTTTGAAAAGGACCTGGGGGTCTGAGTGGACCACAAACCCAATGAGTTAGCAGGCTGGGGAGGCAGCCTTAAAAAAAGCTCATGGGATCTTTGGCTGCATCAAGAGGGCAAGGTTGGGGAGAGTTGCTCTGTGCTCTGCTCTTGTCAGAACTCTTTGGAGGACTGTATTCTGTTCTGGGCAACAAGCCTTAGGAAGGACATTGACTAGCTGGAGAGTGTCTTGAGGAGAGCAGCCAGGAGAAGGAAGGGACCTTACAGGCTCCTGAGTTCAACCTCCTCATTTTACAGGTGAGGAAACTGAGGCCCAGGGGGGCTGTCGGAGTTCACAGAGGCACTAAGGAAAAGAAGCAGAATTTGAACTCAGATCTTCTGATGCCACAGCCAAGGATCTTTCCATTGAACAACACTGCCTCTCCTAGGGCAGAATTAGGGAAAAGGCATGGAAGTGGACAAGAAGCAGATTCGGGCTTAAAGGAAAAGTTTCTTAACTCTTTAGCTGCCCACAGTGGCATCAGCTGCTTTAGGAGGTAGTGGGTTACTTCTGCCAGAGCTAGACCCCTGTGCCACTCTGGAGGGGAGGCTTCCTAAGGGCCACGCAGCAACTTGCAAGGGACCTCTGAGAGCATCTTTTCCAAGCCCTATATTTTGTGGGTGAAGAAACAGTGGCCTAGGAGGTACAGGGATCGCCCAAAAGTATGTGGATGGCAAGGATCCAAAACTGGGATCTGAACCCAGGTCCTCCGACTGTCCCATTCAAGGCTCCCCTGAGATCCCTTCACAAACACTCGGCGGTTTCAATGCCCCTCAGCTCCCCACCCACCTCCTAACCAGCTCCGTCCTTGCCTTTCCTTCCCTCTCAGACTGACCTGTCAGGCTGGAAATTTCTGGGATGGAGACAGGTCTCAGATGGGCAGCTGTCTCCACCTGGTTTCCAAGAGATCGTGGGGAATATTTTGGAAATGTGGATGGCCTTGACACAGCACTCTGTTTTTTCTCTGTAACAGACATACACACGAGGGTTAATCTGATGGAATGATACTATATTAAGCCAGCATGGAAAGTCTCTTTTGAAGTCACGTGCACATGGGAGGCGTTAAGGGCACCACCAAATCTGGAGGAAGGAAAACGGGGTGACAAAGGATGTGTGTGCTGTGCCGCTGAAGGGACATGAGGCCAAGGTTAGAGCGTAATCAGAAAAGGCTCCAAGGGAAACAGGAAAGGCCAGAAGAGCTCCGACAACCAGAGACAACGACCTTCGGGCCGGGCAAGAAAGGGCATGATGGGGGCTTGGGTTACCCCACCCTCGAATCTGGCCACACAGTTTTCATTTACATCTGGGGTTTGCTTTCTTCTTCCTCCTCTAGGGGCACAGCACCTGGACTTAGATAACCCTGGGCACCCAACCAGGGATGCAAAGTCCTGGGTAAACAGAGGGAAGGGAGAAGAGCAATGAAGGATGTTAGAGTATGAGGGGGGAGTCCCTGCCACTGCCCGGGGGAGAACCACAGCATGTGGTGAATGGAACAGGAGTTGGGTATTCTGGTCACTGGCTGGCAAGCCTGCCTTGGTCCTGGAGCCCACCATGAAAAGGATCCTTAAGAACAAGCCATATCAGACAGATGCCTCTTTTCTTTTTCTTTTTTTTTTTTTTGGCTAGGCAATGGGGTTAAGTGACTTGCCCAGGGTCACACAGCTAGTAAGTGTTATGTATCTGAGGCTGGATTTGAACTCAGGTCTTCCTGAGTCCAGGACCAGTACTCTATCCACTGCGCCACCTAGCTGCCCCCCCCAGATGCCTCTTTTCTTGACAGGACTGGTCAGACAGGGGATGAAGGCTGTAACAGGGTACCTGGCAAAGGGTCTCCCTATATTCTCTCTCCAGGAGGATGACAGAGTGATGTAGGCTTGAGGAGGAGGCAATCTGGTAGATTCGGAATCCGCAAAGGGACTGGGCCCAAAGAACAGGACTGAATGGATCAGCTCTAGGCTGGAAGATTTCAGGGGCATGCACGTCCAGAACTGTGTACTAAGATTGGGTGTCTTCTGATGGCTCCTTCCTGGCCTCTCCGCTGATGCCCTTTGCTCTGGGATGTTCTCCCCTCTCTTGGTTCTCCTCCTTGGGCTCCCCTCGCTGGATCCTCATCAATGCCACGTGCATTTGACAGAGGGGATCCCCAATGCTCTGTCCTGGGCCCGCTTCTCTTCACAACCTCTCCCTGGTGACCTCACATTGATGACCTCATCAGCCCCCATGGATTTAATTGTCATTACTACTTAATAATTGTTTCAATTATCAAGCATTTATTTTCCCCCCCTACTAATTCTGATCCTCCCCCATAATAAAAAAAGAAAAACAATTTCTTGAAACAAATAAGCAAAATCAGGCAAAATAAATCCCCTCATTGGCCACATCCAAAAATCCATCTCCTGACGCGAGTCTGCTGCCAGCCTTCTCGTGGTCATGTTTGGGGTGGGGGAGGTACAGGAGTTTAGTGCCTTCCTCGTCGCTCGATGATCATCCTTGTGCAGGTGACCACCAGATCTCTATCTCCAGCCCCCACCTCTCTCCTGAGCTCCCATCCAGCATCTCCAGCCGCCTCTCGGACACTGAACTGGGTGTCTGACCGGTGCCTCAAACCCCGCTTGTCCATAACAGACTCCTCCTCCCCTCCTCCTAACTGGTGTGAGCCTGGCCCCCTCCTGCCAGCCCTACCCACACACAAGCACACCGAGCCAGTCTTGCCAGACAGACCCCTCCTTCTTGGCCGGCTGGCCTCGGGTCTCTTCCCACCCTATGCCATCCTCTACTCGGCTGCCAATGTGATGTGCCCAACAGGCAGCTGCGCCCACATCTCCACCCCCCACCACAGCAAGCTCCAGTGACTCCTTACTGCACACCAGACAGAATGCAGAATACTCTGTTTGGCTCCACACTCTTTCCAGACTTATTTGTCATTACCACAACATGCCATTTCCCATCCCAGCACCTTTGCCCATTCCTAGACTGCCCTCCCTCCTCACTTTCCCCCCTGAGAATCCCTGATTTCCTTCAAAACTCAGCTCAGATGTCACCACCTCCAACACAAGGTCCTTTTAAGCCCCCCTCCCCCATTTTCTTATTCTTTATTTTGCATGGTTACATATGTACGTTGCCTCCCCAGATAGAATAAAGCTCCTTGTGGGAAGGGGCTATCTCATGTCAGTCTCTGTATCCTTAGCAGACTGACAAGGCCAGCACGGGGCCTTCACCTCTCTGGGCCTGTTTCCTCATCTGTAAAATGACCAAAAGTCCCTTCCACTCTAAGAGTTGGGCAGTGCTCATGCAGATGTAAATGCTGAGGATGAGGGGCTTCTGGGGAAGTGAAAAAAATATATAGGTTACACTGGCAGTGGGTACCCTGTTGGGAGGTTTTGAAATTCGTTGGCAGAAAAGGCAAGAGCAGCCACCCACTGCGCATTTACGGGTCCCAAGCTTGGGCTGCAGAAGGTAGCGCTGGGCTGAGACACCAGAAAAATCTTCGGGCGCTCCCTTGGGTTCCTGGGTCTAAGGCATCCAATGAAGTGCCTGCCCAGCCACGGGCAGGGCCTGAGGGGCCAAAGACTTGCGGCTGCATCTCCCCTGGCATTTATGGAGATGCCAGCTTTACCCAAAGGATTCATGTTTTGAAGGAATGGGCAGATAGTTGTCTTTCAGGGCAAGCCAGGGACGGTCGTTTTGAGAGACAGGGCAGGACAGGGGCACCAGGGAACTGCCAAGCCCCAGAACTCTATCTGTAGTAGCTGGCGATTTTTAGGAGCACTGAGGCTTGCCATCTAAAACCAGGGACTGTTAAGTGCTGACCCATAAGCTACAACTCAGGCCAATTCTCTGGCCATGTGAGAGTAAGGCTCTTGCTAGTTAACAGATGCAGGAACTTCTATCTCCAGCTCAGGAGGTCCATTGACCCTTACCGGACTCAACCTTCCAGCCCTTTCTGTGCCTGAGCTCGGACTGTGCTCCTGAGCGGGCGGGGGCTCACTCACCATCCTTGGAGGCCTCCTCAGGTGGCCCGTTAGGCTCTGGCTTGCCTGTGAGAGCAGTGATCAGCTGGAGCTTCTCCTTCAGCGTGGACGCCTGAGCGTCTTCACTGTCTTCTTTCTGCCCCAAACAAAGATCAAAACAGGTTTATGGGACTAAGTGGCCAGAGTGTGGACAACTACTACATTGGAGGACATGACTGCTATTCTTGGAGTCTGAAAAGCCGTCTATCGATCCCAAGGAAGAAGGATTCAGTTTGGTCTGCTTGGCTCCAGAGGGCAGAACTCGGGTAAACGGAAGAAAGTTCTTATCTACAGATAACCCAATACACATACTTGTACATGCATGCACACATATGTACAAGACCTGGCCTGTAGCCCTAATCCCGTCACTTACCTGCTATGTATTCTGTAATGTCAGCCTGCACCTTTGTCCAGTGGAGACTGGACATGTACCCTCCCGCCTCCCTCCCATCACCTCTTCTGATCCTCACAGTAACCTGGATGGGAAAGCATCCGTTTGTAGACTGTCAGGGGTAGCACACACACACTAGGTGTTATTGTCTATATTACAGGAGCTTAGAGGAGGGAGCATCCAAGTCTGGCTGGGGCTGAGCTAAAGGGCTAGACCTCAAAGGCACCCATGACCTCCTGGAGGTGGGCATTCCCGTTAGTGGCGCAGACTGCAGCCCACCCTGACTGACCGTCGTCCCAGTCCAGTCCCCCCACCCCCCTTCACTCCAGGGGCTTCCCCCAAGTTCTCTTGGTGTCGAGGGCAGCAGGACACACGGGCTGTACTCAGATGTCTCTCCGCCTCGCCATACTGGCTGCTCCTCCATTCCTCTGGTGACATCCTTCGTACTTCCTGGTCTGCTGAGTGGGTTGAACCTGCTCACACCCACCGCGTGCCTCTCCACTGCCACGGCTCTCTCTTCAGAGGCTGTCATGCCCCACCACCAGCCTGGGGTCATCACTTCTCAATCACTGACCGCTTCTTTTCAATCTCCTGTGCTGGATCACATCCATGTCATGTCATGCCTCCTCACTGTGGGGATCCCCTAACGTTCTGCCTGCACCCTCTTTGCTTCTTCTCGGGGACGTCATCAACTCCCCCGGTCCTCATCTCAAAGCTCCCATGGAGCCGTCAGCTCTCCGCGCCCAGCCCTACTCTCTGAAGGTCCTGTCCCGCACCTCCAAACACCCACTGTACGTTCCGAAAAGATGTCTCACAGTCAATCAACTAGCATTTAGTGCATTTGTGTGTTAAACTCAATGTGTCCAAAAGAGAGCTCGCTATCTTTCCTCTCCAATGTGCCTCTTGCGCTACCTTCCTGGTCACCTCTGAGGCCTCCATCATCATCCTCGTCACCTGGACGTCTTCCTCGCCCTCTGCCTCCATCTCTCTTACCCCTCTCCCCTCTCTTCACTTTTGCAGCCAGCCCCATCTCCCTCCCTGGTCAGGCCCCCATCATCTGTCACCAGCCTTCTGCCTGGTCTCTGTCCTCTCTTGTCCATTGTCCACCCAGCTACCACAGTGATATTCTCAAAGAACAGGTCTGCTTAATGGGCCCCAGAGACCCCCTCTCCCCTCTACTGCCACACACACACATGCACACGTGTGCTGGCTCCAGCCTGCCCTTCCACACTCCCTCTCTGCTCTGGTCTGGCCAGACTGGACATCTTGCTGCTCCTCACACACTGCAGTCCACCTCCTGCCTCTGTGGCCCAAACCTGAGATGCACTCTCTTCACCTCCCCTCCTCTGAGAATCTCGTTTGTGTCAGTGCCTGCTCATTAGCATGGGAGCTCTTTAAGTGGATGGACAGTATTTGCCTTTCTTTCTCTCTCCAGCACAGAGCACGGTGCCTAGCACATAGTAGGGGCTTAATATCTGCTGCCTGTGGACTCCAACGTGACTCCTATGTGAACTCTTCACTGAGCCCCTCAATACCAGTGCCTCACCTCCATATTATTCTGTACGTGCTTAGACATGCATGTTGTTTCTCCGATGGGACATAAGCACTTTGAGAGCATCCCTACTTTTCTAAGTAGTGTCTAGATTACAGTAAGAGCTTAATAAATGTGTGTTCACTCCCATTGTGCCCCTCCCTTTCCACTGATGCATTCTGGTCCACTTTCTTATTCCTGAACTCATTTTCCATTTACAGTATCTGATAAGATACACATAAACACTGATGGATAAACTGTGTCCCATTTTATCCTTCCAAGTGCAAACTAGAGTATGGAGGACAGACATTATTCATCTATTTGGTTTCTCCTGTGTGGACAGTTAGTCCAAATTTCTGCATGAATATGGATCTCATTTCGGAGGCCCTGTGATGTAATGCCATCAGAGAAGAGGGGCTTCTGGAGGGCACCATCCCCCTGGTCTTGGGATTCCACAACGGCTCTTCTTTGTGAAACGCCTTAAGCAAGCCCGGGTTCTTACACAAAGTTCTTAAGGTAATGTCCATCAAAAGTTCTTACAAAATGTTGATACATACAGGGGAGAGGCCATAATTGAAAAGAGCTGCTAAAATACTTGACTGAATCGAAGTTTTTTTCAAATGGTCAAACACTGAGTGAAGTGGGATCTTGTCTTCTCCATGAAGCTATGGTCTCCTCCTGTAGAATCCACAAAAACTGTACTGAGATTGGAAAGTGGGCAGAATGGGTGGAAACTCTACTGGCAAGAGGTCCTTGGTATCTTCCCCTTTTAACACACACAATCCCTGGGCACATTTGGGCCATATGAGTAGCTTTTTTTTTTTTTTTTTGGTGAGGCAACCCGGGGTTAAGTGACTTGCCCAGGGTCACACAGCTAGCAAGTGTCAAGTGTCTGAGGCCGAATTTGAACTCAAGTCTTCCTGATTGCAAGGCCGAAGCTCTATCCACTGCACCACTTAGATGCTCCTATAAGCAGCTTTTTTTCCTCTGTCCTCTTCAGTTTCCTCCCTTAATAAGCATTTATTAAGTACTTAACTATGTACCAAACCTTCCCTCCCTCCCTCCCTCCCAGAGTGTTACAAAATATATATTGATACTGGTTACTGTCTAGGCTGGATGAAAGCCAGAGGGTCCCTAAAAGCGCTCAGTAAAGAACTACACAAGATGTCCTGAATCTCATGGGACCTAATTTCCACCCACCTGCCATAATCATGGGCATGAGGTGCTTCATTTCTTCTGGGGTCAGGGTAAAGTCAAACACCCGGATGTTCCCCAGGACAGTGGAAGGAGCCACGCCCTAGGGAGTGGAGACTGCCTTCTGGTGGACTTGCTACCTGAGGAGGATCTGGGCCAGTGACTTCTTGTGTTTCTTGGCCAGCTAGAGGACTCCACCAGCCAAACTGCCTCCTTGGTCTGAGGAGCCCAGTGGGCTGAAGGCTGTCATCTCCGGTGCCGGCTACTGGCTGTGAACGATCAGATTATTCTGGGTCAGGCAAAGGTGGCATGGAAGGCCAAACCATGGCTGTGCTGAGAATGCCATAGTTCTGATGACTGTTGCAGTTGGCAAGCCTGCTACCTCCAGCACCTTCCAAGTCTCCCTGCAGTAGATGGGATCAGAGGGCACTGTGCCATCAGTGTTCTTGGGGAAGGGACTGAACCCTACCTCAAAGCCCCAGAGCCAGGGCATCAGGCAGAGGTCCGGGTACTGAGGCTGAAGGTTTGGCCAGGGTTCCTGAGGAAGGGCCCCATGTCCTCTGGGGAGAGCTTGGAGGTCACCTGCAGCTTTTTCCGGGCCACACCTTGCCCACCCTGACACTGATCACAATCTTGCTGCTGCAGACGCTGGCCTCGTCGATGTGGTGCACAGGCTTGACACCTGCTCAAGCTCAGTCCAGCAGGTGCCCTGGAGGAGTATCTTCCATCCAATGCAGGGAATGCAGGCCCACGCTGTCCTGCTTATGGTTGGGAGGCCCTCCCTTTCTGCTCATCCTCCCGTCCTCCTGCTGCGCACCCTTCTTCCAGCCCTCCAGAAGCACATCTGAGATGGCAGCCCTCCTGTCCGGTACAGCAAATAGGCCATTCTGACAAGATCCACTGTGCCCTTGCAGGTCCTCCATAATCTCACTAAGCTCATCTGCACTCACAAAGTAGGGATCAGGGCCAACTGCTCCCTCATTCAGGCAAAGGCGTCCTGGGCTTTAGAGGAACGACAGCCATGTGGAACTATTTCCTTGCCTGTTACTGCCTTCCCAGGGGCCAGTGTAACTCCCTTGGGCATCTGCGTGACTGCCCTCCCAAGTGTGAGAGAGATTTACACACTTAAGCAGCCTCTGTGTTCATGCCTGTCCACACAGAGATGGAGAGAAGCGGACAGAAAAGCAACAGAAGCCAAGTATGGGAAGCTTTAAACACCAATGGCCATGTGGTATTATCAGCAAGGACTTCTCCACGGCTGTCTCCAAGGGCATTCCCATCCATATCTGTCCCCTCTGAGCACCCCAAATGGACAGGGCATGTAAGGGGCACTCTCAGCAGCTCAGCTGGCCACTGAAAAGAGTGTGCTCAAACTCGCTCCCCTTTCTACCGGTCAGAGCACAGGGAATTCTCCAAGATTCTTACTGATATCTTTTCTGGGAGGAATGAAGGAGGGGACAGGATGGAAGACGATGGGAAGCTGGTCAGCGTGCCTGTGTGAGCACGTGCGTGCCTGCATCCATCCACATTACGTAGAGATGATTGGCGCCTGCAGTGACTGCCGTATTGGAAGGGGCAGAGCCGTTTACCCAGGAGATGTGGATGCCAAGGCTGACTGCCTGTTTCTTTTTCTCCCTTACCTTTAGGATCGGGGCTTGCTCCCCAACTGTCCTATGACAGTCTCTGTTCAGAGAAGCAGCTCCATCAGCCACCTTGAACATGATGAGAAGAGGAAGAAGGGAGAAGGAGGGAGGAAGGAGAGGGGGTGGAGGAGGAGGAGGAAAAGAAATTTCTTGAGGACAAACATCAAAGCCTCCCAAACATCGTGCCCTTTTGAATCCCAGCTACATTCATCTGGAAGCCTGGAGAACACTTTCACGTGGATAGCATGGATCAAAAAGGAGAATGAGAGTGAAAGGGAGCAAAGCGGCAGAAAAACAGCGTCACAGTACAGGGCCGCTTCTACCAGGAATCTGTCCCAGACCTGAAGATGCTGACTCACACAAGCCCCCTTCTCTTCCTCTAAACCAAAGGGGGCTGCTGGGCTCCCATTACCAGATCTCTCCTGGGACATACTGGGGCCCAGAGGCTGCCTTGCCTCCTGTTCACTGCTTTGAGGAGTCCAGATGGGAACCTTTGAATCTTCCCAGCTCAGTATTCAATGGCCCATCCCAGTGATGGACAGCAGAAACTGGTACTTGGGCACCCCCAAATTCACAGAGGAAGAGGAGGCTGGCAAAGCCCCTGGTCAAGACTGGGCACTGCAGGAAAGCCTGGATCTGGCTTTCTCATATGGCGCCTGCCTGACTCGGGGCTTGTTCATGGAGATAAGTGTGAGTTCCCTGCACGACACTGGTCTGTGCAGAGCCTAATGCAGAACCACACACATGCAGATGATAAAAGGGGGACACACAGTAATGATGAAGATGTTAAACCTAGCAGAGCATATCACCTAGGATGAAGACAACATGGTGGTGCAGAAAGAACCCTAGTCACAGAGTTAGAAGACCAGAGTAATGAGAGTTTGTCCTCAGTTTTCTCCTCTGTAAAATGGGGAGGATGATGACATGTGTACTCCTGACCTCCCAGGATAGTACCAGAAGCTGTGCTCCATTCAACCTTAAGAACGTGATCCTCCCTGAAGGGCAGCACAGCAGAGGGGAAGGTGCTCAGGACCCGAAGCTGGGAGTGCTCCTGGCTCTGCTGGGTACCAGATGTGTAACCATGGGCAGCTCACCTGCCCTGCAGGCATCTCCATTTCCCCATCTGCAGCCTCTCAGGCTGCTTCTGAGTGCCACAGAGCCCTGTTCTAAGGAGGCACTGCCCTGCAGTCAGACAGGGAGCACTGATAATCGCCATCCTACCACTCAGTGCCATGGGCTCTTCCCTGGTCCCTGAGGTGCGAGGAAGCCCATGGCCGCTGACACTTAAGTCTGAGCTCTGGGCCTCAATTTCCTCATCAGTGAACAGGTTTCCTCCTGGTTCTAAATCCAAACAGAATCTATAAAATAGTCAAGATTTCTCATGGCCCTTGGCCATCTGCACATGCCATGCAGGAGCCCAGGGTGAAGGGTACAAGCAGCAGGTTGGCGTGGCTCAACCTCTTGTGCCTATGCTGATGGGTTGGCCACCTTTTCTGTAAATCACTTTCCTCACCTGTAAAATGGGGTGATAACTCTTGTTCCGCCCACTTCACCACATCATAAGAATCCCATGAGACAATGGATGGGAAGCGTCATGCAAATGCCATGCCCGAATGACTGTTCAATCTGGGAGAAGCCTGAGGGCAGCCACATGGACATGGCACACAGTACTGGACAGAGCATGTCGCCAGGACCTAGACGGTCTTACCGTAGTGAAGGACAGGTTCTCTTTCTTTCCTAACTTGCTCAGAACCACCAGGCTGCTTCCTATCGAGTTGACTCTCTGGGTCAGATTCCTGACCGTCCCATCCATCCCCAGAAGCTTAAAGTCATTCTTTCTCTGGTACCCCACCAGGGTCCTGTTGACCTCTTCTAAAGAGCTCTGAAGGTGCAGCATGTCCTAGAGCAGAAACAGAGCATGTTGTGGATTTCCTCCGGCCAGCTGGCCAGGCCGAGAAGCCACGGTCACGTCACGTGGCCAATGCTGCCTCCTGTCTCTACTCGTGGCTGGGTGGCTCTGACCTCAGAGAAGGGAGGAGGCTCAATTACATGAGTCCCTAGAGAGCAGAGTGCCTGGGAACTGATTTCTCAATGTCTGCCCCTCCCGCCGGCAGCAAAGCTTGCGGGGTCATTAATGAAGAGACCTATTCATTAATTTATCAGAACAATACCACCTTAGGAATGAGACCAATTACTGAATTGGCTCATGTAACACAACCATTACAAGTTGTGCATTATTCAATACAAGATCTAATTATTTTTATTGACATCCTCTGCTACTGATTGCTATTTATAAGAATGGATATTCTTGGCTTAAAATTATATTGAATCTGAGGATGGGAATGCATCCAAAGGGTAGATCTATCAGCTTTCTTTCCTCTTAGCCCGTTGCCAGCCAAGGCTAAGGTTTTTTTGACAAATGGAATTTCCAGAGAGGGGCTAAATTAATTTTGACTCAAACTGGAAGATACAATTTCTGAATGCACGTTCCTCCCCCTCGCTCCAACCTGCTCGAGGTGTTAAGTGCAATGGGGCCCTCTCCTCTGCTGTGCTGATTCTAGGGCACCTGGGGCAAACGGGCCTGAAAGAAGGCATCTATGCACCTGCCCCACAGGCAGAAGGAGAACAGAGCCTGAGCACTACAGGAATGCTAAGCAGTCCCGGGTGGATGCCTGTGGGCAAAGGTCTGACATGGCGCCACTGACTGAATCCAAATGGTTCCCTGGGTACCTTTCCAAACTGGGTGTGTCCTGCTGAAAGCCTGAGGAGAGAGCAACGAGTACCTGCTGGAAATTCTCTCTTGGGCTTTTCCTGCCCAGGCCTGGGACCGTGGAGGGTGACGGAGCGGCCTTGCTGCTCTCTTTCTCGGGGTGCTGGATCTAGTAGGAGGAAGGGAAGAGATGAGAAGCCATGCCTGAGGCCTCCGCAGGGGGACCAGTGGGGAGAGAGCACCCCTATCCATCAGGCCCAGGCCCTGGCTGAGGCCTCCAAAGGGCCCAGAACACAAGGAGCCCATGTCCTCTCCCTCTCCTCTCTGGTCAAACAGGGCAGTGTGCCCGGCCTTATGCCAGATGCTGGGGATACAGGGACAAGAGTCCCTGCCCTCGAGGAGCTCACAGACGCCAAGCTCTCCCATGGTCTCCACCTTCTATGTTTCTGCTTACACCAGAAAAACCATCGAGGACTTGGAGTCAGGAGAAGCCGGGTTCAAACCCTGCTTCAACACCTGGCCACGATAAGCCCCGACCTCCTCATCTACAAAATGCGGGGGCCGTCCTCTGGCTCAGAATCGAGGATCCTGTGGCCATTTTCTGTATCTCCGTCTCCATCTCACATTGCTGCTGAATTCTGAGCCCCTTTTAAATCCTACCTCGAAAGCTGCCCACCCTGTGCAGCCATGGAGAGGACACCTCCTGCCCCCCAGGGCTGCCCAACATAAGCTGGAGGCTCACAGGAGCAGGCACTGGAGTCCCCCTTTTCCCTCACTCCTGCCTCCTCTTGGGCCTCACCTCAGGCTCTGTCTACACCTAGGACTGAGTCACTGTTTGTTGTTCCCGGAGCAGTGTCATCATCATCATCACTGCTTAACCTCCGTCCCCTGAAAGTGCCATGTCCCCACTGACTGTCTATCCTGGAACCACCTGGAAAGCTCTGTGTCCCTTGGCTGCAAGTGGAGTTTTCTACACGGATTCTACCACCTCCCTCTGCCCCCTTTCCCAGCCCAGGCCTGGAAGACACCCCCCTCTGAAGCCCTGGCACCTTGGAGAACCACCCCCATCCCTTCATTCTTCATGGCTGGGCAAAATGAGGGATTCCAGCCGCAGCACACACACACACACAAGGCCTTCCTCGCTGGTGGCCAGGCAGGTCGAAGACAGACTTAATTATAACAAAATGCTACCAGTAGCAGCAAATTGGATCCTGAAAGCTCTAACTCTCTTTTAAGCATTCATTTTGCCTCAGCCTTGATAATGAGCAGAAGAAATGACTGAGGGAGGGGCCTTAGAGGGGCCGGGTGTTGAGGTGGTGGCCGAGGCCCCCAGGATGCCCCTCCAAATAGGGTCCTTCGGGGGAACAAAAGAACCAGTCACTTTAATTCTTCTGCAAGGGAAGAACGGGTGGTCCCATCAGGGCAAGTCCCTTTTGGGCACCTCCCTTCGTGCCAAGGGCCCCCCATCCATGAACCTACTCCAAGGGAGAGAGAAGTTGTGTGTCAGCGGCCTCCCTCCCATTGGATCTGCAGTGACTTGAGCAGGAGAGGCAGGGGAGGGGCAGCAAGTGCTGGGAGGCGAGGGCCTGGGTGATTCTAGGCTGGGCAGTGCAGTGGCAGAGTGCTGGGCCTGGAGGTAGGAAGACCTGAGTTCATATATAGCCTCAGACACCTTCCAGCAAGTCACTTCATTGCTGTCTGCCTCGGTTTCCTCAACTGTAAAATGGGGATAATGACCACACCTGCGTCCCAGGAGCTCATCTTTGTAAAGCACTTAGTACGGTGCCTGGCACACACATCAGATGTGAAATAAGTGCTCACTGCCTCTCTCCCTCCTCACTCTGACATTCTATGCTTGTCCTTTGGACCATCCTTCCATCCTCTCTTCCTATACACACATACACACACACACACACACACACACACACACACACACACACACACACACACACACTCCCCCCCCACCCCATTTTCACCTGTTTTTCCTATGATTTTAACACTTACTAACTTTCTGATCCTGGCTAGGTCACAGTCTGAGGCTAGCTCTGAGCCTCAGTTTTAGCATCTACAAAATGGGCATGATAACCCTCTTCAGCCTGTAAGGACAGCATTTTGTAAACCCTGTCACTTCCTAGACACACGCCGTTTCTCAGCACCAAGACTGAGTTCCTGGAGCTCTAGAGGCCCACTCCATCTGCCTCTCCTCTGGCACCAACACAGAGCTGGTCCCTGCCCCCGACTCCCTGCTCCATGCAGCATCACCCAGGAAGGCGATGACTCCGGGACAGGGTGACACCAGGCCAGCCGTGTATGCCTTCCTGTGGCTGCTCTTTCCCTCTCCTCCTATCCTCGGTGTGTTATCTACACTTGCTGTGATCCCACCTATGGACGCCTGCTCTACAGGGTTTAATCATTAATAATTCAACCCACATTCCAGTGTATGCTCTGCGCAGACACTGAGGCGCTGGAGAACATGGTTTGCTTTTGGAAGAAGGTGGATGTCACAGGACTTTTTTTGGTGAAAGGCTGCTCTGAAGGCAGGCAGGCTGGCTGACACGGGGACTGGCCTGGATGGCCGGGTGGGCGCCTCTGGCCTGGGGTAGGGTTTCCTTACCATCTCCCTCTGGAGGGCCTCGATGGTCTTCTTGTGTTCGTCAACTGTCTTCTGCACGGCCTCCACAGCAAGACGGACGCTGTTTAAGGTGCTCCCGATGGAGGCCACGCTCTGAGGAGAAAAGCACAGCGAGTGTGGCTGCAGACACAGAAGGAACCCCGCCGAGACCCTGGCATTCTGCTGCACACAGATGGCAGGAAACCATGCGCATCGAGCGACGTCTCGGGCAGCAGCAGGGACCGAGGGCTTTTTTCGAGGAAACACAAACTCAGCTGTATGACCTTGGGAGGTCACTTCTTCCTCTAGAAATGAAGAGCTCAGGTTCTAAGGCTCCTTCGTGCTGCTCTAAAGCTATGACGCCAGGTTATCAATTTGGAATCAATCACTACTCAAGGCCAGGTGCTGCCTGAGGACCGGCGTCATCACGGGCAGCCAGATGGACAGAACTTGGACTGATACTGCCTGTGCTCTCTGCAGAAGGGACATCTCACACCTTCGGTGGTCCTCGCCCTGCACCTAGAGAGGAAGTCCAATCAGGCCATGTCCATCCTTGCCTGTGCCAGCCCTGGCTGGGGCTGGGGATGGGCTCCAGCACCCACCCCTAAAGGAGGCCTGTGCCAAGGAGTCAGGGAAGAGAAAAGTGCCACCTTGGCAGGTGAATTTTGCTTATTTATTAAATTGGTGACAATCATGTACAAAATATGTGGCTAGCCAACTGGGGGACAGCACAGTGCAAATGCTCAGGGTCTAGAGTCAAGAAAGCCCCAGTTTAAATCCAGCCCCAGCCACTTCCAGCTGTGTGACCCCTGGCAAGTCAATTGACCTCCGGGTGCCTCAGTTTTACCCCATCTATAAAATGGGGATCATAAACAGCACATACTTCACAGGGCTATCGTGAGAATAAATGCAGATACTATTTGTAAAGTGATTTGCAAACCTCAATGTGCTATATAAATGCTAGCTTTTGTGATGACGATGATGTTACAGCCTAGCTGAGAATTTTAACAGGGGTTGGTGACTGTCAGCTTGTGGCTGATTTTGTTGCAGGTGTTGTTCAGTTGTTTCAGTCCAGTCTGACTCTTCCCGATCCCATTTGGGGTTTTCTTGGCAAAGGTACTGGAGTGGTTTGCCATTTCCTTCTCCAGCTCATTTTACAGATGAGGAAACTAAGGCAAACTAAGGGTGAAGTGACTTGCCCAGGGTTACACAGCTTGTAAGTGTCTGAGGCCAGATTTGAACTCAGGGAGATGAGTCTTCCCTGATTAAAGATAAAGGTTCCAGAGTGAGGTCTGTTAAAACGACATCTATGGGCCACGTCCTACTTTACGACTCAGCTTATTGGCTTAGCACCGTCAATGCACAGGTCTGTAGGAAGTGTCTCCCTGCTGGGGTCCTGAGGCCGCATGGCTCCAGACATACAAGCACATCTCAGAAACCTCTCTGGGCCCGGCTCTCATGCCTCAGTGACCCAGCCTTCATTCTGAGTGGCTGGAGAGCAAGCCTGCAGGTTCCCTACTCTTGCTTTCCTGGTGCTTAACGAAGAGGGTAGCGGAGGGGTTAGACAGACGTTTTAGTCATGAATGAATTGGAGTTTCATGGACTTGAATTCATCCACAGGTACCTCATTCATCTTCGTCTACATAGGGCCACTCAGTCATTTATTAAGTGCCTGTGTGTGCCAGGCACTCTGCCAAGCATTGAGTATACAAAAAAAGTCCCTGCTCTCAGGGATCTCACAGTCTACTATCAGGGGAGACAACGTGTAAACTATGGGTCAGTGAGCTCTAGAGTGGATAACCTGGGGATCAGAGAACATTATCAATGCTTTGGTCCGGCCCCCTCATTTGAGAGGAAATAGGCCTTGCCCATGGCCACCCAAAGTCCAGGATACTGCCCTTGTGGGCTTACAAATAAAAGCTGGGATCTAGGAAACATTTCACAACTTTTTAATCCAGTTGATTCAAATATTTACTGAGCCTCTATTTGGTGAATGAGGCCACCCTGTGAGGGCTGGCATAGAGGAGCAGAGTGCGGACAGGAATGCCTCGGTCTGATGGGTTAACTCCACCTGTCTCCACCATGCCTCAACTCCTGCTACTCCGTGGCCAGGACGAACTCTGCGGGCTCTCAGAGATGTATGTCTGTTTGGCACCCAAATCTCAGACCAGTATGGGCATGTGATGAGTGGTGTGTGAATGCCCCTAGAAAGCCATGCAAGTGATTTTCTGGGCAAAATGGTCTGTGACATGTTCTTTTCACTTGTATCTGCATTCAGGGGCTCTGATCTACCATTTGGGAAAACGCCAAAAAGCTTCTGTCTGTCAGAATGTAAATGACTATTAGGGCAAAGATCAGAGAAGGCAGAAGGCCAAGCAGCTCTAATCTTTGTTCTGGGAGGGAATGGCCGCCCCCACTTCCTGCTCCTTGTCTTTCTCTACCATTTCTGGTTCTCATCCTTAGGGGACTCAGTTCCCTCCTTGGTCTGCCATTCGAGGCCTCCCAACTCACTGCCTTCCCATTTAGCCTGCTTCACCATGACCCCAAACTGCCTGGCAGCTTCAAGTTCTCTGTGCCTTAGGGAGACAAGACCATGTACTGGAGGGAGCACTGCATTTGGAGCGAGAGGACCTGGGTTTCAAGCCTAGGCTCTACCCAATCACTACCTAGGCGACCGTGGCCAGGGCACTTCACCACTCAGCCTCAGTCTCCTTATCTGTAAAATGAAGCAGTTGGACTGGACTAGCAGCCTCTAAAGGAGCCCATGTTGTTCCCCAATCCCGGAGCGTATCCCACCTCTCTTTTAAGTCTCATTCGGCCGCCACTTCCTCAAGAAGCTTTCTCTGTCCCCCTCAGCCCTCACACAGGCCCCCGTCCACTGTGCACATACATAGATGGTCGGGTCCCACTGGGGCAAAGAACAAATCTTGTGTTCAAACACACACTGCTCAAAGCTATAATTATATGTAAACTCTGGTGACTGGTTGCAGCAGGAAAGATGTCGTGTGACCAGAATAACAAGGTAGGGCCTAGAGTGGCCCACGCTGCGTCATGGCTCCTGCCTGGCCCCCACCCCCTTGCAGATCCTAGACCGTGTCTCTCCACCTCCCCAGCCCCCAGCGGTGCCAAAGGGTCTGCAGAACTGAGCTAGTGAGGGTCAGGGAGCAGGTGGAGCCATGGCCAAGCCCTGGACACTGGGCACGGGGTCAGCCGAGTGTCTTTACCCCGCAGCACTCAGGGGAAATTATATTGCTACCATTTTCTGGAAGATCAAGGAATGGAGGGAGGCCTCCCCGGTGTGCGTTTGGGTGGCTTTCAAATGGACAACCTGACAAACTCCTCAGTAAAGATGCCAGGGATCAGAAGCTCATCCCCCCCGTGGAGAAGGCTTTTGGATGACGGACACCCAGCAGACCCAAGGAGGTGGAGCCCTCAAGACCCAGGCTGAAGCTGTCTGCTGCCAATCAAGGCTGGAGCCAATGATACAAAAATCTTCCTATGACTCTCCTGAGCAGAGCTGGACTTCAAAGAAAACTGCAAGAGCCCAGTCTCCCTGAGAGAGAGATGCATGGTTGGAGCCCAGGTTTATAGCGCTTACCTTCTGAAGGCCCTCAACAGTGGCAGGCAGGCTAATCAAATCTGAAGCTGATTTGATGTTGGCTTTGAGGTGGTTCACTGTGGAAGTCAACAAAGCAATCTGAAAAAAGATGGAAAAGCACGCTTTGGAAAATACGATCCTCTTTTCAACAACTGTGGCTTCAGGCACCACGTGCCTGCCCCTGTGGGGCACTGGCCCCCTGCCCTGCCCTGCCCGAGGGTCTGTAGAGGCCCAGCACCACACCCGACCTCGCCCAAGGCTGTGGGCATGTCAGACTCCCCCATGGTCCTTGAGCAGAAAGATGCTGCGGGCCTTCACAACGGAACCTCCAGGCAATCTGGAGGGGACTGTCTGGGCATCGAATCACACTCAGGCTACTTATGATCTGTGTGTGTGTGATGTCCAGGTGGTCCAAGTGGCAATCACACTCTGCAGGAAGACCTGTGGAGGACCCTGGAAATCTGAGGGAATGGGAGCTTGGGGATCTCACCCTGCTGATAGCACCTGCCAGCTCAAACAAATGTGCTGCGGCAGACCCCCAGGGAGCTCCCAGACTTGTGAGCTCAGCGTTTACAAGACAAGGAACCCATTAAAACAGGTGCTGGATTCAAAATAAAAGGCAGCAAAGAGAAAAGGGGACAGCGTCAAGTCCTTGGCCCTCATCAGACCCCATCTGGAGGATGGAGTTCAGTTCCTGGCCCCCATTTCAGAAAAGACAGTGACAAACTAGAATCAAAGCAGAGGAGCGATCCCTGGACACCTTACTTACTAAGGAATGAGGAGCCCACGTGAAAACTGTTGTCATGGGGGAGAAGCATCCATCTTGCCCTAAGTGGCCTCAACTGGCTGAACTAGGAGAAAAGGTGAGAGCGGCCAAGAGGTGAACTGAGATCTGATTACAGAGAAACTACTGTCAGAGCTGAGTCTGCCCCTCCCAGCTCCTGGCTCTGGCCAGGCCGTCACCATACTTCTGCCCACTCAGGCCTACACTTCACAATCACCCTGGACTGCTCCTTCTCCCTCACCTCTCCCACACGTCCCGCCCCTGGACTCTCTGCCCACACGGCCAGCAGGCCGTTCAGGTCCTGGCCCCTCTCCCCTGGACAATTACAACAGCCTCCCGGTTGGTCCACATCACTCCTCTGCTCCAATCTCCCCCCTCTGCCTCATTACCCATTATTCTCCTTCACACCCTTTCCAGGTTAGCCAACAGGCCCCCTGCTGTTCCTCCCACAAGACTCCACTGCCTTCGCTGCCTGGAGTGTTCTTCCTCCTCACCCCCAGAGAGCTGAGTGCAAATGCAATTTCTTTCTTTTGTTTTTGTTTTTTTGATGAGGCAATGGGGGTAAGTGACTTGCCCAGGGTCACACAGCTAGTGAGTATTGTGTGTCTGAGGCCGGATTTGAACTTGGGTCCTCCTGACTCCAAGGCTGGAGCTCTATCCACTGCACCGCCTAGCTGCCCCTACAAATGCTATTTCTACTAAGTGAAGCCCTTCTTGCTTCCACCCCGCTGCTGGTGCCCCCCCTAAAATTACCTCATATATATATGCATGCTGCCTCCCCCTACAGAATGGAAGCTCCTTAAGGGGAGGGCCTATTTTTTCCCCCTTTGTTTCCCCAGCACACCTGGCCAAATGACTGGTTCAGCATTTAATAAAAATCTATTGATTGATTTGTGTATTAGAGAGGATTCTTGAGGTAGCATGGTGAAGTGAGCTGAAGATGGATTCAGAAAGACTTGGGTTCAAATCCTACCTCTGACACTTTTAGCTGTGTGGCTCTGGGAAAGTCACTCTGAGCCTTTATTTCCTCATCTGTAAAATGGGGTTCATAACAGCCCCTCCCTCCCAGGGTTGTAGGAGAAGTGAGGAGCTAAGGCCGGCCTTTATCATTTCTGATTTCCTTTGCCTTCTCAGGTCTTACTGAGCAGACTCAGAAGCTGCATTTGGGGCTCTGCAGAGGCCTGTCCTGGAGGGCTGGAGCCCAGGCCCAGGCTGTTTCCTTAGTTCTTTCTTCTGGTGTGTTCTACCTGCTGGCAGGTAACCCTGGCACCTCACTACCAGGCTATCCCCGTAACTGGAAGGAGAAGGTGCTGCTGCTAAGACCTGCAGGCAGGTTATATTGGTTATGTATTGATTAGATGCTTCCAGAAGCAATGCTCCTGCCTCTGCACTGGCATAAGCCAAATTCTGCAATGGGAAAGTCTCACCTGAGCCCAGCTCTGATGTGCCATGGGCTCCCTACCTTGCCCCTTGCTTCTGTCCTCTCCCACACGCTAGGATACAAACAATGCATCTTATTGTAGTGATGGCAACTCCCCCCAAAGAATTTATTGAGCACCTATTTTGTACCCAGCCCTGTGCTGGGACCCTGAAGATACAGGAGGAAGAGACATGGACAGTCCCTGGTCTCAGGCTGTGAGGGAGGGAATCTATAACACACAAGGAATAATTTTGCCCTCAGCGGGGCAGGGCTGACTCTATGCACAAGGGAGGCCAGACAAAGTACAAGTGCAGATACCACAATGATTATGCAGCCCCACTGCAGATTAGAAGGAAGAAAAAAACCTAATGAGCTAGGAAGACTTGAGTGAACTTCGAAGAAGGAACGGGGCTGGTGAGAAGGGGATCCGTGCCAAGGAGAACCCACTGAGTGATCCGAAGCAGCAGAAAGGGCGCCAACAAGGAAGGAGAGAACGCCATCACTCCAACACCGGCCCATCCTGGGGCAGCTGCTTCCTCCAGAGAGCTTCGTTCCTGAGGAGATCTGTGGCCAGTGAGTGAGGCACACCCGGCCTCGAGGGCCAAGAGGGGCATGGAGGGACCACTCGCTCAGGCCCTGGAGTGGAACAGGAAGCAGGCCAGCAGAGGCATGTGGAAGGCTCGTGGCATCCTGGGGAATGGCGCAGGTGCTATCACCTCCACCAAATGGAGTGCAGCTGCCGGGCAGGTCTGCCACTCGCTAGCTGTAGGCAACCCGTTAGCCTCTGGCATGGCTCCCAGGTCAGCAGATCCCCCGAGGGCTTGCCACCAAGTAAACGAGAGCCTTGGAAGGAGCTCCCAAAGCCACGAAATTTAACCTGGACGCCAGTTACGGGGAGCACACTGGTGTCTTCTGGTTGGGGTAGGGGTTGGGAAGCAGGCCTGGAGGGCCCAACAGCTCCATGAATGGAAGGGTCTAAAAAGTGGAGCTCATTGAAAACATTTAAAGAAGGCAGGATCCCATAGCCTGAGCCCAAGGATGAGTCAGCCCGAGTTGCTTAAAATAAAACTGCTGCGCACATTATGAGACAACTTGATGAGCAGGAGTGAAAATAGCCACCGTGGGCGATCCCTTGCTAATATGTCATCGCTCATTGTACACTGCAAGCTGTTTTTTCTGCTTCTGCTCTGGAGAGGAAGCAAAGCCCTTCTGACCCAGAAAGCCCAAAGGGGCCGGAGCCCAAGAGTCGGTGCCTTTCACTGCTTGGGAGGCTTAGAAATGGTCACGAATGTGGACAACACCACCGAGCTGACCTCGGGGGACAGACTGCATATTGTGGAAGAGGCCTCAGACAGCCTGCAGTCCAGGAGTCTTAAACTAAATGTTTTTTGATCACTGTATTTCTCCTTGTGATCCTATTTGTTTTACTCGTGAAAAACATGATTTGGAGGAGTCCATAGGCTTCACCAAGATACCAAAGGGGAGTTTGTGGTGGAGAAAAGGTGAAAAACTCCTAGATTTAGTCCTAGCCCCTCGTTTTATAGATGAGGAAACTCAGGCCCAGAAAGGCAGAGTCATTGGTCCAAGGTCCCATGGGCAGAAAGCAAAAAAGCCAGGATACAAATGCAGATGGTGTGACTCCAAACCAGCCTTCGTCCCCCTCCATTCCCAAACCTTGAATGTGAGGGGAGCACAGGGGGAGGGATGGGAAAAGAAGGTCCTGCAGAAAACCAGGAGAGGCTTCAGGGTTGAGGGAACCAGTGTGAAGGCTCTGGGGACAACGTGAGACCCTGCCCTAGAACAGCACTGGCTGCTCTGACCCGTGGCTCTTGTCCGGGGCCCCTCAGGCTCCTTCCCCTCTCAGCTCCAGCCTGGCCTTGGGACCAGAATCGAGGCTTCCTCTGCAGCATGCTGGCCTCAAGAGTGGGTCTGTTTGAGGTCAAAGAAGAGCGGGCTTGGGACTGTCCTCTCCTCACTTCACAGGGAAGTCCTGGGACACAGAGGGATTTTTCAACATGAGGCAGAACCGGCCAGGGGCTAAGCTGGCTCTGTAACCAGGTCCTGGTGCCTGGGAAGCTGAGAAGGTCCTCCCTGAAGCTTGGCTGAGATCTGAGTTTCCCTCCTGATCATTCCTCTTCCAAATGACAATCTCAGGGGAGAGCAGCAGAAGGGGGAGGGGGCAGATAACAGGGAAGGTGCTTCCCCTTCAGGTACTTCATTCCTAGCCTGGGCCCCCGGGCCTGTCACAGTGCCCAAATGGCAGATTCTGATCAGCTCTGGGGGCACCAAACAAACCCAAGTTATTCTCCTTTCCTTTTTTTTTTTTCCTCTTTGGTGAGGCAATTGGGGTTAAGCGACTTGCCGAGGGTCATATAGCTAGTAAGCGTCAAGTATCTGAGGCTGGATTTGAACTCAGGTCCTCCTGAGCTGCCCCAACAAACCCAAGTTAAACAGAACTGGGTGCTTCTTTTCTTACTCAGTGAGTTGTGAGCAAGTGAGCTCTGCCTGGTCCTCAAACCTGGGGGTGACCCTGGGCAGTGCATTCTCAGGCCTCTCTCCAACCCTGTGGGCCGGAGGGAACCCAGCAGCCCCTGCTGCCTGACTAAAGCTGCTGGCTCTGCGTTACGCCCTCAGGTACAAGGTGCCAGCCCCCTCCAAAGAAACAAATTGAAGAGGATTGCCCTCCCCCTAGCCTGGATGCAGCACTGCAGCTTGGTGGGAGGGGACGCAGGGCAGAGCAGCTTCAGCTGCATGTGAGCCCAACGTTTTAATGTTGCATGCCAGAACCACTGCGTCTCTGAGCTGGAAGGCAACTCAGAGACCGGCTTGTCCAGGCTGGGACCCTGAGGCTATTTGGGTAAAAGGCAGTTTTGGAAGTCCGTGCAACAGAATAAGTTATCATTAATATAAGGTCTGTCCCTAGTATTCAATATCTGCAGGGCATCTATCATTTTAATGATTTACTTTTATTTGGTAATTAAATTTCTCCAGGAAAGCACCTAGAACTCAAGAGCTTCTAAATCCCAGTAAGACGTTTGGAGAGCAGACCATCCTGCTCTTTGGTAAAATCCTAGAAAATACACGAACACTGATCTCAGAACACAAATCCTGGTAAATCTAGGAAGAGTTGAGCAGTGTGCAAATGCCCTTTTAGTTTGTTATTTCATCCTTTGGATTTGGCTATCTTGTTCTGAACAGGACGCTTGTTTCTGTGACCCTGGGGGGGGGGGTCCCACCTCAGGGCGGCATTTCAGGCACTGGCCCTTTGGGGGGGAGGGGCGCCTTTTGGCACCGACCACATCCCTCCATGCCTTGGAAGGATACTTCTGTCTTTGTCCTCAGACAAAAGTGACTGGCAAATTAGGACAAGGACACAGCTACTTCAGGCTGATGGCTTGCTTCTGCTAACTGACCCAGGTTAAGTCGGATGACCACATAACTTAATTTCATCTGCATTTGCTGAATCATCCAGATAAGAGGCTGTCTCTGCAGTCTGGGCCTTTTCTTAAGCTATGGGGAGGGAGCTCTAGAGCAGTGGAACCACCCCCCTTCTACCTGTTTAGTCATTTCTGTGATGTTTATCCAGACTTTGCTCAAGCCCAGGTCTCCAGATTCAATCTTCTCCAGTTGCTTTTGTTTTCGGAGGAGGTCTTCATTTAGTTTGGGGATCTCTTGGAATGAGCTTTTCTGATTAGATTCCACTAAAACCAAAAATAAGAAGGATCAGCAACAGCAGCCAGTAATCCCTGTGACCCAAAGATGAGTGAACGTCAGATGACCTAAGCAGGGGGGAGCTGGGGGGCACAAGCAAATCAAACATGGGCTGAGGAGCACCTCCTATCCCCTTACAGGAAGGAGGGGGAAGGGTGGCTGGGGGTTCTGGTCTCAGCTCTGCCACCTCCTCCCTGGAGGCTCTTGGTCCACATACACTCTCTCTCAGAGCCCCAATTTTCGGAAGTGTTAAATAGGGATAATCTTGGCCCTGCCTACCTTACAGGACCTGTAGGGATCTGATCCAATGAGATAATATCTGTAGTAGCACCTTGTGTGCCCCAAAGTGCAATACAAATGTTAGCTGGAAATAGTTCAATCCTCTAGGCCTTCAAATGTGCACTATTAACATTGAGTGTTTTATACCACACTGTCCTCAGGCTCAGGACAAAGGTAGGGAGAGTCATCACTTTACCACATGACTTAGCTAAACCTTTCCAATCTTTTCCTCTCTAAGATCTTAGGCCTCCACTGTAATCGGCCTGTTCACCAGCCACACTGGCCCATAAGCAAGGAGGGGGCTGAGAACTCTGACCAGCTCAAAGATGATTTGAGTCTGGCTGGGGTAAGGGTTTATCTTGGGCATCAGGTCATTGAGAGACGCGTAGGGCAATTTGCAGGGCCTTTGCTTTGGGAGTTATAAGGCCAAAGTCCTCTCTGTTGATCTGTTCATAGAGGATGTGGGGCCCCAATAACCTACAAAATGAAGACAGGCTATGAGCTGTACTTGTACTGCTGGTCACTTTACTTCTGCTTGATTAAAGCTCTTTATAAAAAAGAAGAGACTGCTATCTACCTGAATACCAGCCTAGAGCTCAAAATGGAAGGAGGGGGAGGAAGAGGAGGAGGGAGAGAGACAGGGAAGGAGAGATGCACAGACACACTAGCTAATGCGTGGTTTGATGCTTTGGCTCTTTTAAGAGACCTTCAGTATGCACTGGGTCAGCACCAGTGAGCTCTGGAGGACCCATATCATTTCTACAACTTTAAGTGACAATTTTCTACCCAAACAGCCCTCAAAATAGTTAAGACAAATGAAACACACACATCCACACCCCTCCATACACCAGCGCTGCTTGCGTGTTCATTACTATATATTAACTCTTAACAAACTGCTATAAAGAGCCAGCCATTAATATACTTTGAGGAAACATCTCCCCAAATCTTCATAGGAAGATGAAGCAAACTGTTAGGTAGTGTGACGAATGAAAAACCTGAGAGACAGAGTTTCTGGGTAATTAATAATCAATTTATTAATTAGGCTAGTTAGTAATCAATAAATTGGTGGTCAGTGGTTTCTCTCAGTCACCAAAGACTCCTAATGGAGATACTGAATACTTTCAATATTTTTTTGAAAAGAAATGCTCCTGATAGGAAAAATCAAACCTGATTGGTGGACATTTAAATGAAGAGGGGGACTAAAAATGTTCACCTCTTCCTGCTGAGAATGTAGCTTGATCATGAGACTCAGCAGCCTCGAGCAATCCACACACAGAAATCCACCTCTACCCAGACCACTCTGGTTGGTTTTCTCCTCCATGAGCTCGGTCACCCTAAACTCCAATGGTGGGTGCAAGGACATGGGCTTATTCCCTAAGGGCAAGAATTCACCTAGATTATATTCTGTTTACACATCAAACAGAAGTAAGGTCTCCTAGTTGGGTGGGGTCTTGCCCAAGACCGAGGAGCATGTCCCCAGAGGTTTAGGGCAATATCCTCTATCAGTCATGCCCTTCAGAGAACTGACTGACTGACCTCCAGGGGCTGGTCCCTGAATGAGGAAATAAAAGGTCTGGATCCTAATCAATAATGAGTTATTAATATAATGGAAAATAACAATTTCTCTCAGTAGAGAAGGGAGTCGAAAGTATTCAGGGAAGCTAAATAAAGCACTATAAAAAGAAAGGTAAGGGGGGTAAGAGAAGGGTGGGTATACCCCTACATTTCACCACCAGCATCCTTTAACAAGCTACATCAGGTGAGGGCTCCACACAGCCAGATCAGTGCAGCAGAAAAGGACTGGGCTAGCAGCTGAGAGTGGGAGCCTTGGCCAGCTCTGGCATGAAGCAGCTGTTTCTTTAGGCAAGCCATGTTCCCCGACCCCGGCTGAATTTTGGTTCCTCATCTGTAAAATGCAGGTCCTGAGTGTTATGAATGCTAAGGTTCCTTCCACCTCAGAGAAGCAGATTGCTCACATTTGTCACCTTAAACCAATGCAGTTAGCCGTTAAACAGATTAAGCTCTGACTGTGTGCCAAGCATTGGGCTATGTGTTGGGGACACAAAGTCAAAAGAAAACCATTCTCCACCCCCAGGAGCTCACCCTCCATAGAGGTATCTGTGTACACCCAATCAATACAAGGTACGAGTCCCTGGCAGTGGGGCAGGAGTAGGGGAGGGCATATCCAAGATCAGAACAGGGTTCGTGGTGTGTATTTCAGTTACAGATAAAAAACTATGGCCCAAACACGAGATTCCTAATCTTGTGCCCCAAACGTCTAAATCATGCCAAATCCCAATGAAAAGGATGGCAGTGTGAAGTCTATCAGACAAGTCTCCCTCCTCTACGTTAATCCAGGCTGTGTTCCTGCCCCAGTGGTGCCCCGGCTATCTAAGATGGGCTCATAGGATCCTGGTTTAGAACCAGGAGGGATCTCAGCAGACACTGAGTCCAACCTCCTCATCTGACGGGTGGATGGAAGTGATGTGCTCAAGGTAACAAAGGAGTCAGCATAAGAGATAAGATGTAAGCCCAAGGCCATTGGCTCTTTCCCTTGTCCAATGCTGCCCACTTTGAGAAGGTTATCTACTGAATTAGATAAATAATTGGGCATAGCATCAAAAACCAGCCAGACACGCAGGCAGAGGTAACCGATGGGCTAAGAAGGAGTCTCCAGGCTGGCTTGGTGAGTGCTAGCGAGACCATGCTGATCCTGATCCCGAGGTGGCATGGGGTTTTCCATGGGCCAATGACATTCTCTTCTGGGGCCATGACAGAGCCAGCCTCCCAATCACAGAATCTGAGAATGGGAAGGGACCTCAGTGGCCTTCTATTTCACGCTGAACCCCCTAAGAACCCCCACTAGAACGTGCTGGCCACGGGGACATCCGGCCTCCCCAGGGGGGCTCTTCCGCTTCTGGACAGCTCTCCCCCTCTCCAACCTGCAGCGCCCCGCTGCTCCTGGTCCTGCCCGACTCCTCTTCCGCAGGTCAGCTCTTTGGATACTTGCACAGTTATAATGCCCCTTAAGTCAGCTCTCCTCTAAGCCAAATGCCCCAATCCTCATACGTCACAGACTCAGGGCCCTTCACCAGCCTGTTTGCCCATATATGGAAATGCTCCAGCTTGTCAGTGTTCTTAAACAATGGTTCCCAGACCTCAATATAATCCTGCAATGACATATGTTTAGGACAGAGGACAGAGAGACATCCACTTCAGTGTTCCTGGGAGCTCCACCTGCCTTAATGCAGCTCAAGGTGGCGTTGGCTCTTTTGGCTGCCACATCCTCCTGATGATACGTGTTGAGCTTAAAATCCACTGAAACCCCCAGATTGTTTTCAGAACAATCTCTGTCTATCCATGCCTCTCCTACCTTATACTTGTGAGGTTGATTTCAGTACTCAAGTGCACGTCTTTACATTTATCCCCACAACATTTCATCTTACTGGATTTAGGGGGAGGTTCTAAGGCCTATCAAAGTCATTCTGGATCCTGACCCAGTCATCCAGTGGGTTTGTTAGCTGCCCCTCCCAGCTGTGAGTCACCTGCCAGTCTGAGGAGCAGGCCACCCAGGCCTTTATCCCAGTCATTGATAAAAATAAGGCAGCACAGGTTCCAAAACAGGTCCCTGGAGTGCTCCACTAGAGAACACCTGCTGTGTGCACAATGACTCATTAATGACTGTTCTTTGAGCACAGACACCTAACCAGTTCCGAACCCATCTGACTCAATTACCTAATCACTATCTCTCCATCTTCTTTACCAGAAGAGTGAGAGACAACCAGAGGAGTCACCCCAGTTTCAGGATCTCCAGGGAAGGGGTGATAAGGAGCTGAGCTAGACCCTGTATCCCTGCTCAGAACCGTGGCAGGGCCTGCGCCCCAGAGGATGGTGGCCAGGCAGGGCCCCTTCAGCGTGCTCTCCCAAGGAAGAGGGGCCAGCACAGGCACTCTGGTTAAATAAACAGGAGGAAGTGTAACAAACAGCTCCCAATGACTAATTCATGAGCTTTCAACACCAAAAGCACCTCATGCAACATTGATGACTTGGCTGCAGGGAAGATTCCCAGCTGCCCACTGGTACCCACCAATGATCCCTGTACACACTGGGGAAACACGTGATTCAGGGGCTCTTTAAGGCAAACATCCACACCCTGGTGTCTGGGTAAATACCATTCAAGAGAATACTCCAGGAAGCCCCATACTGGCCCTTCTCTGTGGTCTGTCTTCTCACTGGCACACGCCTCCAATCATCCAGGGCCTGCTGGGGAGGCCCTGGGGAGGTAGATGCTGAGGGATCCCGAGGACTGAGTGCTGTCCTGCCTGATGAGGAGCTGAGAGAAGGCATCGCTGCCCAAGGAAGCTCCCCATTTCAGACCTCCTTGCCTCTCCTGTGACATCTGTAAACAGGGCCTGGCTTCTATAGGCCCTGCCTCATTTTGTCCTAATAAAGAGTCAGCAGTGAGCCCTGCAGTGAGGAGTGAAGTGACCACGGAGGGACAGAGGCAGGGCTTAAACCCAGGTCTCTGCCATGAAAGCTCTGCCTAAAATCCCACTATCTAGAAGAGGTCTTTCTTCAGTCTCCTTCATGCTGGTGCCTTCCCTCTACTGACTGTCCAACTTAGGCTGTCCATCACTTATTTGTACATGGCTGTTTGCATCAGACTGTGAGCTCCCCAAGAGCAGGGCCCATGTTCTGCCTTTCTTTGTAGCCCCAGCACTTCGCATGGTGCTGGGCACACAGCAGGCACTTAATATATGATTACTGATTTTTTAATGGTACGTGGACAGGGAGAGGCTTTGGCTTCTTAGAAAGTCCTCTTTGAATAGGACAAACAGTTCCTCTTACTTAGGACCCACAGCCAAAAGTCTGTTTTGACATTTATTGAAGCTGGTTTAAAATGAAAAGCAAATGTTTTAAAGAAGATTGTTTAAGTCCAAGGAAGGGGTACAGAATAGTGATCGGCAAGTTTTTTGGAACCTTGAACTCTTGGCTGACTGGCCCATCATAAGCTCTGATCATCCTCTCCCTTCTCCTCTGGTTTATGTCAACAGTCACTGATGAGGTGCCTACTGTGTGCAAGGCAGCATGTGAGGCCTGACAGAAGTAGAGGAAAGAAGCTCCAGGTGGTGCCTGATCTGGAAGCTCTGGCTACGAAGTCACTGCAGACTCCAAAGCTTCTCAATTCACTTCCTTACCATCCCAGGGCAACTGACTTCTTAGGTAGACAAAGTGAAGGCTGGTGTTCTTCCCTTCCTCACCTCCAAGAAGGGGAAACGACCAAAGGATGAATGTACTCCCTTACAAACATCAAATGCTGGCAGAGATGACTTCAGCAATGTCTGCCACTTCCCCAGTACATCCCCATCTCATACTAAAGGCCACAAGGCTGTAAGAAGGTCAAGGCACAAGGTGTCTCTGGTGGTTATAAAGCACAAGCCAAATCAAGCTTTTCCTCCATCAGAGTCCTCCCTAATGCCTCACCAGGGCACAGAGGTGCCCAGAACTCTAACGGGCATGCTGGCAGGGGCAATGGGCCAGGCCCTACTGCACTAAAACATCTGGGCCCTGCAGATAAGCTCAGTCTGGAGCACGGCTCTGATCAACTACCTCATTAATCTATTTGTACAGAAGCACAAAAACGCTACAATTAGAAGGGAAGTAAAAACTACCTTCTGCCTCCATGCAATCATGGTCCCCCTAAGCTCCAAAAAACACACCCTGCAGCTGGGATTAGGATTCACACTGCTGGACTGAAGCGCACCAGAACCACTACCAGTTGGTCATAATACTCCACTTGGCAAAGTGTCCTGGACAGGGGCTAAAAGGGAAAATTAACTCAAACATAAATCCCACTCCATCATAAACTGATTCTATGTAGAGATAAAGAGAATGGGTCAGACGGATACACAGGCTCCCAAGAGAACAGGTACAGGTCCCCTAAGCCCCTCACCTGAGTAAGGTCTCAGAACCATGGGCAGCATTCTCTTCTTCTCCAAGGAAAGTCCCTTAGAAGTTTAATTAAGGGCTAGCTATTCTTGGGACAGACTGGGAGCCTGAATGATTGTGGACAGCAAAAAGAGAAAAGAGCCTGGGCTAGAAGCACCCTGTGATGGCAGGACCCAATAGCCATGGGATGGGAAGGCAGGAGGCATTTCCTTCTGATCCCTGGTGCCAAGGATCTCAGATTACAGACAAGCTTGGCTTCGTGGTTTCCTTCTACAAGGATGTTGTCAGGGGTAGTTAACTTGTTTATCAATCAGTCACAACAACTGACCAGCTCACAACATGAACAACTAGCTTTAAATACTGTCTTACAGGTTTAGGGTTGCCAAGAAGACATTTCTAGACTATCAGGCAATAAGCTAAGTACTATTTTTAAGGGAAGCTGCTCTACAAAGTTGCAGGTTGATGTAAAAGGAGAATCACAGGAAAAGGCACAAAAACCTATTACAGCAGAGGCAAAGAAGGGAGGGAGATAAGCATTGTTTGAACTTTACTCTCATCAGATTTGGCTCAAGAAGGGGATAACATAATCAATTAGGTATAGAAATCTGACATGCCCTATAGGCAGTAGGAGGGAAAAGGGGAAAGAAAAGGGAGGGGCCTAATAGAAGGGAGGTGGGACTGAGGGAGGTGGTGGCCAGAAGCAAAACATTAGTGAGGAGGAAAAAAGAGAAAGGAGAAAGAAAAGCATAAACAGGTGGGAAAAAGGATGGAGAGAAAGACACAGATAATAATCATAATTGTGAATGTGATATACAAATGTAATGGAATACTACTGTGCTATAAGAAATGATGAACAGGCAGACTTCAGATAAACCTGGAAAGACTTGTATGAATTGATGCTGAGTGAAGTGAGCAGAACCAGGAGAATGTTGTCCACAATAACAGCCACATTGAGTGATGACTGACTTTGATAGATTTAACCTCTCTCAACAATACAAGGATCTAAGACATCTCCAAAAGCCTCATGGAGGAAAATGCTATCCACAACCAAAGAAAGAACTATGGAGTTTGAATGCAGATCATGGCATACTATTTGCTATTTTTTTCTTCTGTTGTGTTTTGTTTCCTCTTTCTGGTGGTTCCATCTATTAGCTCTAATTCTTACTTACAACATCACTAATGTGAAAATACGTTTAATAGGAATGTATATGTATAGCCTATATTAGATCGCGTGCTGTCTTGGGAAGGAAGGGGGAGAAAAATTTAAAACTCTAAAGCTTATGGAAGTGATTGTTGATAAACTAAAATAAATTAATTTTAGAAATTAAAAAAAAAAGAAAGAAAAAAAAAGAAGAAAGGTCCTCGACAAGGGACTCTTCCGAGGGGGGCTGGAGGCCCAACTGTGGAGGCTGCAAGTCCCCAGTCACTTGAGATCTTTAACTCAGGACAGTCACTGAGGGGATATTCTGGCAAAGTCAAGGCTGAGCTGTCCCTCTGAGCCTTCTAGGATTCTATGAAGCTAAGGCTTTCGAGAGATCGGGAGTGGCTCCAAAGTCCACTGACAGGCTGCCTTCCTCACTGGAGGAGGGCTGCCTCTCTCTCCTCAGCCAGGCAGGCCCTGAATTCCCCTCCCGTGGGAGGGCCAGTGTGGACAAGGCCCAGTTGTGCCCCCTCTGAAGCTCTTGCGGGCACTGCTGTCCCTTCAGCACCTACCAGCGCCTCAATAAATAAACAAGTAATGAAATGAATTGTTTTACAATACAATAAGCTCCTTACTTTTGGAAATATCCTGTTAACATTCACAGGTAGTAAGGTTAATTACAACTTGTAAAAGACTACCATGAATAAAAGGACAACCTAGAAAGGGTGGGAGGAGGGTGGGAAGGTATGTGGATGGGGGTTGACCTAATTAACCAAACTCACTGGCCCCAGCCATGAAGATGCTGGCAAATGCCTTTCCTTCTTTGGCCCATGAAACTTATTTGTTTTAAAAAGTTTTCTTGTTCACACACACATACACACAATGCTGTCATTCATGGCCTAATCTCCATTTCCACCCAACAGAATGTTCTCTTATAATAAACACAGGAAAGTAGAGCAAACACATTGACCAGACTGGCAGCATATGCTTCCTTCTGCACCCACAGGCAAACACCTAGCAACCACTAGCACTTTTAGGATCCTTCTTCTCTCACACTGGATCCCTTGAAAAGTTCTGAAAGGTTCTATGGCCTGTGTTTCTCTGGATTCTCTTGTGGGGCTCAAAGCAACAGAAGGTCATTCACAGTTACCTCAAAGATCCCTGGAAGGTTGGTAACAAGAATAAGAATCGACCTTACTGCTGCCCCTTTATAGGCAGGGAAAGTGAAGGTGTAGTTTAGTTACCTTCATGGTAAGAGCTGAGAGCAGGCTGAGAGATCAGAGGTCATCTAGTCCAGTTCCCTCATGTAACAGATGAGGAAACCAAGGTCCAGAAGAAGCCAGGCACTGAGCCGGGGCCTCGGCTTCCTTCCCCTGCTGGTTCTTAGCCCTGAGGCTTGTTCTCTCCTCACCCTTCCTCCCACTACGCTTAGCCGGTCTCTCTGTTGTAGTCTCCCCGTTCTCCTGGGATGCTTTAGGGGGCACTGAGGGGACCCTGGGGTTTGGGACCAGACAAGCCCCAGGGGGTCAGGTGAGCCTCCAAGGGATGGTTCTGTTAGGGGCCCAAACGGTTCCTTTAGGTGTCTGAGGTGCGGCAGACAGGGGAGGCGGGACCCTTGCTCTAAGACCCCAGCTGGCACGCACAGTCTCAATCACAGTGGGCAGCCCATAGCAGGGAATCGGTCTGGGCTTTGCCCGGCGGCTGCTGCCCCCTCCTCCCAGGGAGGGACCCCCACTCACGGATTCTGAACTGATCCTTGAGGCCGTCCAGGTCCTCCTTGAGGGCCACCTGCATCCACACTAGGCCCACACACGCCACCACGCACGCCGCCAGGATCACGAAGGTGCACAGGGGGTAGCAGACCTTGCAGCAGCGGAAATAGTCTCCTCTGCAAACAAACCGCAGACCGGCCGTGAGCCCCCGACCCAGGGTCTGGGGGAGGAAGGGCAACCTAAAGAGCTTCGGGGCCGTTTGAGGAAGGACAAGAGGCGCCTTTGCCAAGGTGGGGGGCCCGAGACCTGGTTCAAATCGTGCCTCGCTACGTGACCCGGGGTTTCCTCGGACCCATGGCAGCTCCTGGTTTCCCACCGCTGTGCCTTTGCACCGGCTGTCCCTCATGCCTGGGATGCCTCCCCCACCCACCCGCCTGGGAGACCCTCGCTTTGCCGGGCCGAGGTGGTGGGGGGGTCTGCCGTGGGTCCCGACCCGGGCCGCCCCTCCCCCTCCCGCACCCCCGCTGCGCGGCGCCCTCTCCCACCTGGCGAAGCGCGCGCGGGCGCCTCCCCCTCCTCCGCCGCCGCGCTCGTCCTCCTCGTCGTCGTCGTCGTCGTCGTCGTCCTCGTCCTCCGAGCTGGACGCGGAGCCCGAGGCGGGCGGCTCGGTGCGCAGCAGCCGGTGGCCCGCGGCGCCTTTCCAGGCCCGGCGGCTGCGGCGGCTGCGGCCGCGCCCGTCGCCGGGGCCCAGGCCGATGAGCGCGTTCAGCTCCTTGCGCTTCTTCATCTTCTTGGGCGGCGTGAGGGGGCCGCCCGGGGCCGAGCAGCAGCCGCCGGGCTCCAGCGCGGCCCGGCTGAGGGGACGCGGGGGGATGGCGCGGACGGGCGGGGGCTCCGCGGGCCGCTCAGCCGCTCCGCTCCCTCGGCGCCTCCGGCTCCGACTCCGGCTCCGGCTCCGGCTCCGGCTCCGACTCGGCCTCGGGCGGCCACGGGCTCCGCTCCCGGCCCATGGCCACGGTCCGGCCCGGTCCCGACGCCCCTCCCCCAGGGCCGCGGCCGCCCGACGCGCCTGCCAGCAACGCGCGCTCCTATTGGCCGCCTCCAGTGACGTCGGCAGGGGCGCGAGCGTGTGGGCGGGGCCTCCTTAAAGGGCCCGCGGGGCCTCCTCCCGAGCGGGACGCTCGGAGCTGGCTGCTGCAGCGAAGGGAGAAGGGAATAAACGTTTGTAGCGCCTACTACGTGCCGGGCACCGCGCTAAGCGCTTGGAGAGCCTAACACCCTAATTCCAGGGCTGGAAGAGGCCACTGACCACACCCCTCTCCCGTGGTACAGATGGGGAAACTGAGGCCCACTTGCCCAAAATCAGGAATCCACAGGGTAGAGCTGGAAGCGACGCCAGAGTCCAGTCCGTGTAGCAGTTGGGGAAATGAGACCGGATTGGTAAAGCTACTCCCCAAAGACACACAGCTAGGAAGGGGCGACACGGATGGGACTCCCAATCCAGTGCTTTTTTCCCTGTGCCAACCTGCCAAGCTTGCAGTCCCGAACTCAGCAGAGTGACTTGGCTATGTGACCTTAGCCAAGTCTGGGCTGCCTCAGTTTCCACCTCTTCACAGAGAGAGGCAGGTGCTCTAAATGAGGCAGCAGGTCTGTTGGCCAGCATTTTATGAAGTTCTTGTGTGCACCGTGCCCGGCACTGGGGTGGACCCCCTGGGATACAGAGGAAGGCAAAAACATTCCCTGCCGCCTACCAAGGAGTCCTTGGGATGGACACGTAAGCTTATACAGAGTAGATGGAAAGTCCCGTGAAAGATGAGGTACTTGTGAGGAAGGATGCTTTTGTCATTTTTACTAGTAGCCCTCAGAGCCTGGCACGGGGCCTGGCACAGAGGAAACCTTGTTTGATTCGTCTTATGGGTGAAAGCAACCAGCCCAGAGAGGGGAAGGGAAAGCCGAGGTCACAGAGCTGGGAAGAGAACCCAGCTGTCCTCACTCCCAGCCTGGAACAGCGATGCCCTTCTGAATCCCTGGGACTACTTCATTTCAATGCTTTCTTGATAATTTCTTTTTCAGAACTGGCTGGATTTATCGGAGGTCAGGGAGTGAACTGAGTAGGAAAAAAGAATGCAGGGTGTGCTGGGGAAGGAAACCAGTTATTATCTCTGTGGTGGTTTCCCTGGTGACACAGAACAGGACAGAAATGCTGGTTGGTTTAGGCAGCCCAGGACCCAAGCAAGCACTCTGCAGTGACAGAGCCTAGGGATGACTGTTCTCTAAGAACCAGCCCTGCCCAGGGAGGAGAGAAGTGGAAGGGGATCAGGAGTTTGGCTGGATGGCTCCCCAAGGCAGCCACCTACCTTATAGTTGGGCTGTGATCTGCCATGGTGAGGGGAGGGTATGTACCATCCAAGTCACATGTCCTCAGAGTTTTGTTGTTGCTGTTTTTGTGGTCATGATTATGTCTCAGGGAAGCAGGAAATGCTAAGTATGAAAATAAAACCAGATGTGTTTTGGGGGGGCTCAGAGGGGTCTGAGGCAGAGTCAGATTCAGCTCCTCACTTTCTCTTCTGTCCCCAGCCCTGACTAGCATGACTGCCATGACCTCACCTTCAGTGGAGCTGGGGAGCGATGCCAAGGCACACCAGAGAGTGAACCTAACACTCACCCTAGGATGGCGCTCAGGCATCATCCCAGTAAGTTTTAGGACCTGGTCAGGAAAGTAGCTTAGCCAGGAGGATGCCAGCCAGGTAAAGGTCATGCAGTCAGTCTCTGGGCCAGAGGCTCATGGTATCTCAGGGACACAAGCCAGCCCCAGCCTGAGCCATCACCCTTTCCAAAGACTGATCCTTCAGCCCGGGCAGGCAGAAGCTGCCCACGTATCACAGGGAGGAGGGCAGTGGGAACCAGCCCTTACTGCATTGTACACATGCACATTGCCTTCTTGAGGGCAGTGACCATTTCCTCCTAGCCTTCGTATGGCCAAGCTCAACGCAGTGCCCAGGCAGTAAGTAGATTTTAACAAGTGCTTGTGGCTTGTTTAATTGTTAAATATCATCCTATCCAGTGGCTCCATTTTACTAAAGTGTAAACTGAAGCCCAGGGATTTGCCCCGGGTCTTGTGTATTGAGAAGGCCAGCTGGGAATCAAACCAAAGGTTCTCTGCCAGATCCAGGTGTTAACAAAGCTGGGTCACCAGCCTGACCTACTGCCCGCAGGTGGTGAGGACTGCAGACCCATGGGTGGACTCAGGCCCTGAATTCCAGGCAGCCTGGCCCCTGGTCACAGCCTCCCTGGGCCTCACATCCCTCTTTCTCCAACACTGACCGACTGCTTACCCCACCCACCAGGAGGAATGTGACTTTCCCCCTGGGCACAGGTCCAGGCAGCATCACCAGCCTGACCCAGCTACCACCCCAGCTGCCAGCAGGTCTGTTGGGAAAACATCCTGCCAAAGGCTTGAGTCCATTCTGGACATTGCCCACTCTGCTTCTGATCTTGTTTCTCTGCATTCTCCTTTTACTGCCCTGTCATAAACTCTTTAGAAGCACGGTCCTACAGAATTTTATTCTAGAGACCCAGTCTGTAATCTTTGACTGCTGAACTGTGGGAGGGGCCATGAGAGAGGACTGCACGTCATTTCTTTATTTTTAGTTTTTAACATTTACTTCCACAAGACTTTGATTTCCAAATTTTCACCCCATCTTGCCCCTGCCCCCACCCCAAGATGGCATGCATTCTGAATACCCTTTCCCCTAGTCTGCCCTCCCTTCTATCTCTCCCCCCGCTTTCCCTTCTATTTTCCTGTAGGGCAGGATAGATCTCTGTACCTCATTTCCTGTATTTCTTATTTCCCAGTTGCATGTGAAAACATTTTTCTAAACATGTGTTTTTAAAACTTTGGGCTCCAAATTTTCTCCCCTCCTCCCTCCCCACCCACCCTCATTGAAAAGGTAAGCAACTCAATATAGGCTATACATGTGCAATAATGCAAAACACTTCCATAGTAGACATGCTGTGAAAAACTAACTATATTTCCCTTAATCCTATCCTGCCCCCCATTTATTCTACTCTTTCTTTTGACCCTGTCCTTCCTCAGAAGTATTTGCTTCTGATTACTCCCTTTCCCAATCTGCCCTCCTCTCTATCATCCCCCTACTCTCTTGTCCCCTTCCCCTCCTATTTTCCTGTAGGGTAAGACAGATTTCTATACCCAATTGAGTGTGTATGTTATTCCCTCCTTAAGTCAAATCCCATGAGAACAAGATTCACTCATTCCCTCTCACCTTCCCCCGCTTCCCCTCCACTGTAAGAGCCTTTTCTTTTCTGTTTTTTTTTTGTGAGATAATTTACCCCATTCTACCTTTCCCTTTCTCCTTCTCCTAGTATAATCCTCTCTCACCCCTTAATTTTATTCTCCAGATATGACCCCTTCATCTTCAACTCACCCTGTGCCCTCTATCTATCTATCTATCTATATATATATACATACATATAATTTTTTTCCCTCCAACTACCCTAATACTGACAAAGGTCTCATGAGTTACAAATATCATCTTTCCATGCAGGAGTGTAAACAGTTCAACCTTAATAAATCTCTTATGATTTCTCTTTCCTGTTTACCTCTTCATGTTCCACTTGAGTCTTGCATTGGAAAGTCAAATTTTCCATTCAGCTCTGGTCTTTTCATCAGGAGTGCTTGAAAGTCCTCTATTTCACTGAATGACCATTTTTTCCCCCTGAAGAATTATACTCAGTTTTGCTGGGTAGATGATTCTTGGTTGTAATCCTATCTCCTTTGCCCTCTGGAATATTATATTCCATGCCCTACAGTCCGTTAATGTAGAAGCTGCTAAATCTTGTGTTATCCTGATTGTGTTTCCACAATACTTGAATTGTTTATTTCTGGCTGCTTGCAATATCTTCTCTTTGACCTGGGAACTCTGGAATTTGGCTACAATATTCCTAGGAGTTTTCCTTTGGGGATCTCTTTCAGGAGGAGATAGGTGGATTCTTTCCATCTCTATTTTGCCCTCTGGTTCTAGAATATCAGGGCAGTTGGATAATTTCTTGAAAGATGATGTCTAGGCTCTTTGATCATGGCTTTCAGATAGTCCAATAATTTTTAGATTCTCTCTCCTGGATCTATTTTCCAGGTCAGTTGTTTTTCCAATGAGATATTTCACATTGTTTTCTAATTTTTCATTCTTTTGGATTTGTTTTACAGTGTCTTGATTTCTCATAAAGTCACTAGCTTCCAATTGCTCTATTCTAATTTTTAAGGAAGTATTTTCTTCAGTAATCTTTTGGACTTCCTTTTCCATTTGTCCATTTTACTCTTTAGGGCATTCTTCTCTTCATTGGCTTTTTGGACCTCTTTTGCCATTTGGGTTAGGCTATTTTTTAAGGTGTTATTTTCTTCAGTATTTTTTTGGGTCTCCTTTAGCAAGCTGTTGACCTATTTTTCATGATTTTCCTGCATCACTCTCATTTCTCTTCCCAGTTTTTCCTCTACGTCTCTTACTTGCTTCTCAAAATTCCTTTTGAGCTCTCCCAAGGCCTGGGACTGATTCATATTTTTCTTTGAAGTTTTGGATGTAGGAGCTTTGGCTTTGTTGTCTTCTTCTGGTTGTATGTTTTGATCTTCTTTGTCATCAAAGTAAGATAATATAGTCTGACTCTTTTTGCGCTGCTTACTCATGATCCCAGCCAATTACTTGAGTTTTAAACTCTTTGTTAGGGTAAGCGTCTGCTTCCAATGTGAAGAGTGTACTGTCCCAAGCTTCGGGGGTCTGTACAGCTGTT